GAAATAATGGGAAAAAGAGAATAACCCTTGATTTACCAAGTTTTCCAGAACATTCATTCTACCCTTACAAGCAGGATGCGAGTTTACTTCACCATATCTTCACCAACTTTACACTGATTTCTTAGTATGTATTTGATAATTTCATGATGTAAAAGTTTGCTTTTTTATTTGGCAATCTATTTTTTCATGCATGTATTAGCCTTTTCTTCCTTATTTCAGTGATAAATCTAATTTCTTTTATTATTTATTGTGATCTTCATATATTTTCATATAAATTACAGAATTTCTTCATGTAGTGAAGATATTGTTATATTTACTCAAGAAATTTCCCCAAACTTTTTCTTTGAGCCTTTGACTGAGATACCATCTCATCCCAAAAAGTATGGCTACTATCAAGAAATCAAAAATTGATTTACAAGATATTACATTAGAAATAAAGAATTATTTATTAGATATTACATATTACATTAGAAATAAAGAATTTCCCAATTTCTGCACTTTTCTTTTACTTTTGGAATTTCTTACTTTTTTTTTTTTTTTTTTTTTTGAGATAGGGTCCTACTATGTAGTTTATCCTGGCCTTAAACTGACTATGTAGCCCAGACTGGCCTCAAACTTGCAGCAATCTTCCTGCTTCAGCCTACTGAATGCTAGAATTTCAGGCGTGTGCCACCACAGCCAACCCTTACATTGTTTTCATGCTTCAAAAGTATACTGCCCCAGGCTGAACTGAGGTAGATACATATATTTCCTTTTAACTAGTAATTTTATATTGAATACCTTCCATGACATTTATGTAACATGTAAGGTATAAAAATGTTTCCCCAGTTGTCCATTTTCATGAAACTATGCTCTGAGGAATTTTACTTGTTTATTTGGTGCTTCATCTCCATCAGAAGGGTCCTAAGACAGCTCACTGGAAAATGCTTTCTTCCTTCTTTGGTTATAATGCCTCATCATACACCAAACCCTGTTGAACATTAGGGTCTTCTTTCAGGCACCAACATTTCTGCCGCAGGTCTGTTCTCGCTATGGTTGAGTCAGTATTGCAGTATTGTAACATTTTGACATCTATCAAACAAACATGTTACTTTTTACTGTTCTTGTTTATATTTTTTAGCTGTTACTTTCTGTATATTCTTCTAAATTGTGATGATTCCCAAAAAATTAATTTTTTATTGGTATATTAAATGTCTAACATTCAGAAAAAAAGGCATATTTATGATATTTAGCATACCTAGTGAGGTATATGGTATATCTTTCATTTCAAATTTTCTTTTTATATCTGTATCTGTATTTTTTTCAAACAGGTAGTATACTTCTCTTATTATGACTGCTCTTGAGCATTTCTGCTTTCTTGTTGGCTGTCATCGTTTAAATTTTGTAATTTCTTACATTTCCTGCCTTCCTCAGAGATTGTCCCCACCTATTCTAATGGAAGATTCTGGGAAAATTAAGTCCCACGGAAAGGACCTGAAGATACAGTCTTGAGTCCTGCCCAGGAAGGCGCTTGGCGAGGGTCCCTCCGGGAGTTAGTGCCCTGATACAATGGGTGCCTTGGGGTATTAGGGCAGCTTGCTTTCTGCCTGGAAAACCAGCTTGGGAAGCCCCAGGACTTTCTTCAAGCTTTTGAAACTCCTTTCTCCCCCAGATTTTCACTCACAGCAGATGATCCAAGCCACTACACACAGAAATCCCAAACCACCAAACAGCAGCTACCTCCGTGTCCTGCCACACAACCTGAAAATCTGCTGGCATGCGAATTTATCTTCTCTTCTCCCCAACTTTCATGGAAGAATGTGCCTTCTTTACTGGAAAAAAGCCAAGGAGGCACTCTCTGCACTGGGAAGCTCTTCCCTCTCACCTCCTTGGTGACCTTGTGCGCTCAACTTCCCCTTGTTCACCTCTTCGGTGTCTACTTTGCTGGACCTATTTCACCAACATTACAGGAGTAATCTAATCATTTTTCCAAACTAAAACCCAAATCATCTTCCAACTTATTGCCCTCAGCTTATCTAAATCTCCCACATTTGATGACACTTTCAATCAAACCCAGATCACCGCTGAAGAGCTTTCCTTGAAGTCGTTTTCTCCACTTAATGGAGCCACAAACACTTCCAGTCCCACCTTGACGACTTTAGTATTATCTGACGCTTTCTACCAGGAGCGTTTCCCCCCGGCTCCAGCTCTTTGAACCCTCCCTGGCCCATGTGCTGACCCTCTTCCTTTCTCTTACTTTTCCCAAATCTTTTCCAGTAACCTCTTCCTTATTTATTTTTCCCCTCAGCCTTCATTTCCATTACCATGGCTTTAATTACCCTCAACCTGACTTTCTAAATCCTCTTTTTCTTTTACATATCTGTAGCTGCCCACCTCAAATTTACAGTTTCACAAGTCTATCAAATATGACAAGGCCCATATTGAAACATTCTTTCTACTCGTTCTGCCTGTGTCTCCTCCCAGTTTCCTAATGAAAATCAGTCACTCGTCTCCTTCCCTAGGGCTACTATCCTACTGCAGATCCTCTCTTTCCCAGTCTGCCCATATAACTTCCCAGGAATCTGCTGGCTTCCTTTAAGGCGCTCTTACAAGTGATTTTACATATCATAGCCAGATGGAAATTTTTTTAATAAAGCACAAGTCTGACGACACCTTTCCCCTTCAGTAGTTTTCCTTCTCAGAATTCTTAACTTAAAAATTGTGCATAACACAACCCTATATATTATATAGATGTATGAATTCTCCATCTCATTCTATACTGGAGCTATCTTGAATTTCTTTTATTTATTTATTTGTTCATCTTTATAACATGATGTTACTCTTTTTGTTTAGCTCACACATATAGGTGTGGATGGCATTTGGCAATGTTACAGACATTTCTGTTTGTCACACAGTTAGGGGAGGGGTTACTACAGCAATCTACAGTGTCCAGGTCAGAGATGCCACTATACATCCAACAGTCCCCAGGACATTTCCACGGACAGAATCATCTGGAACAAAATGTCTACCTCACTGAAGCAGAGAAACCCTGACTTGTGCTGTCCTGTCTGTCCAGACCCTTCATTCTCTTCTGCTCTACTCTTCCACACCCCACTTACACTGGGTCTTTACTTAAATATCATTCCCCATGGAAAATGTCCTTAGCGAGGGCTGGGGATTTAGCTCAGCGGCACAGCACCTGCCTGGCAAGCACAAGATCATGAGTTCGATTCCTGGTACTGGAAAAAATAAAAAAGAAAATATCCTTAGCCCCCTAAACTCAGTTTACCCTATGATAACCTTAGTAATTTCTTACGACTACATGTTCAAGATGTTTCCTGCTACACTGCACTACTTCTATAGCCCAGCACTAAATGTATCCATTCACTACTTTGCTGCCCCTCCTCATACCCTTAATACCATGTGTATGTTAGTTAATATCTTGACTGGAGATTTTTTTTAAAATAGAACTTTATTCTGATTTATTTTACTCTTTGTCTAAGCTGTAAAACACAGCAACAGCACCTGTTCTCCTTACCTCATGGTTATTAATGCTCAAATAATGTGAATATACTCTACATATATAAATAGGTCTGCACTGTCTCCTGTCCTAAGCAAACAGTCATGGTTAGTCACTTTAAAAACAAATAATCTTTCTAACTTCAACTTTATTATGCAAGTATTTTATTATCACTTTAAAGATGTATTAAATTCTGAGGTGTTAGGAAATCCTTAAATTGTGTTAAGTTCTATAATCATCATAAAAATGCATTATTATTGCTTTCCATATCTGTAGGAAGCACAGTTTGTGTACCTACCTGGAATATTTTCACTTTAATAACTAAATCTCCTACCACATTTGTAGTATACTCTTCTAAGAGGAGCAAGCAGACTTGGAAGCACTGTCTTTTGTTCTGTGGAGGCTTGCTGTCCCTGGCCCACGCAGGCTGATTGCTCATGAGGGCTTCCACCCACCCCCAGGAGGAGAACACCTGAGCCATCACTTACCATCCCTACTGACCTAACACTCAGCGAACCAGAGTGTATTTCTAAGTCAATATTTTTGCAGTTTCACAATTGTTTATCTAATAGAAAGCTATTATTCCATTGATAAAAGAAGCAATCTGAAGGAGTTTATTTATGTAATTAGCCATTAACTACTAAGAGTACTGGAAAATTGATTATTTCAGGGGCTTGGGAACTTTTATTATTTCTTTAAGATAACATTTTGCATCACTTCATCAAACTAATGGAGTACACTTTACCATTAGAAAATGCAAATATATATTATATATATATTATGTATTTATAAATCAGGTCTAGATTTACCATGCAACGCACTGCCCTGTGCCCTGTGCTCTCTGGAACCTCCTTTAATGACTAGGTAAGTTGAGGATAATGAAAGCCTTATCGTGTGCCTAATTAGCCATATAGTCCTTAATGGTAGTCTAACTCGTTTAGATAAGTCAGTTTGCTGATTTGTTCCTTAAACAGGGCATGAAGAGAAAGCCCAGGGAGAGAGGAAGAAGAGGGAGGAGGGGAGAGAAAGAAAAAAAAAAACGAAATAGTAAACCAAACCATAGTATGACAGAGCACTGGGGCTTCTTGATATCTGTTAATGCTTTGTCCAAAGGTATATCCCAAAAACTAATTTTTCTATATGCGTAACTTAGGCTTTTTGTTTCTACTTCAGTGGAAACGTCTTAAATCAACAGTAGTCTTTTTTTTCTTCATTCTCCTTCAATGTCTGATATTAGGTAAGGATAGCTGAAAACTCATCATTTCTGGATGAGTTTTCTGGAAAACTCGTCATAACTGGAAATTGTTCAGTAGGTCCATGTAAAGATTCATCAGTGGCCTTGAACCTAATTTATCTGTATTTGAAGTCTTCAGTCACTTAACTGAACCCTAAAAAAACAACATTTATGTCTATGTTTGTCAACAGGGCTGATTAACACATATTGTTCAATATATAAGACAAATTATAGGAGATGTAAAATAGAGAAAAAAATAATGCTTACCTCGTTCTTCAGCTTGCTTCCAGAAAACCTTAAAAATTAGTATACTTTCTGTTAGTTCAAAAGAGAAGTCACAGTTATTTCATTCAAGGAAATGAAGACTTAAAAACATAGTAACTTCGTACCATAATTAATTTTTTTAAGAAGCTAAGAAACTTTTTCAGCTTTCTAAAGAAAAAGTGTTACAGGAGAAGGTGAAATGAAAACCACTTAGAGAAAAAGGCAAGAGTTACAGCAAGCAAAGAACACAGGATATTAAACACTTGTATGTTCCAGCCTGCACTTCCATTTTATAGTGGGTAGTGGTTAGTAAGGTGCACCTATGTTCCCTGTAGATTTGGACTTATTTTAGTATTACATTAAAGTTTCTTTTTCCACAAGATAGTTTACTTTTTAAAGTAATTTATTCTTTTAATAACTAAGATTAATTCTTGGTAAATCACACCACTAGGCAATCCTAGATGCAGTTATAATTATCCAGAGTTTCAACATTTTTAAAATAAGGGTATGGATCATTGATTCCATTGGTTTTCATCTTGCTGATTAGTAACTTCCTCCTGATGGTTAAAGACAGCACGGAGCTATGTGTTCTTTATATTTACTTATGTTTTTCCTGTCACAGGGACCCAAACAGGGCAGTAGCCTCATTCACTGAGGGAAGATTACATTCAGAGTATGTGTGTAACTATTATTATAATAAACTCTTCCTCTTGGCAACACACTAGTCAAACATAAATCTTTAAAACTCTGTCTCCTAGAAAAATACATTTCTCTTGCCTCTATTTTACGGAACCCATCCTGAAAATTGCCTCAGCCTTAGGAGCACATACCACTCTAGAGGAAACTTTGTTTCTTCAGTTTCTCCTAGTCATCTCTCTGGTATACTTAGTTCACCATTGATTTCTCATTATTATAAATTATACAATTTACCTGCTACTTCTACTAGGCTGTGCAACTGTAAATGTCAACACAAAGTTGACATTAAGGCTGTACATTAAATAAGACATTTTAATAAGCAAAATGAAAAAGCCATTTCATGCAGTAGATACCATGCGTATTTGAAGAGATGCAGAGAAGTTGGCTTGAATGTGGTGTGACTCTACCTTGTGAGGCCCTTTCCAGAGTAAACGGAGTGGTAATATGCACTGCTTTCTTTGATGCCAATCCCATAGTAATGATACCTAGGGCAAGGACAGGAACCAGCTCTGTGTTAATGAAGGAGTTTTTGAAGGAGAAACAGAGTCAGGTGTAACTAAGGTAAACACAAAGAGAACTGCAGCCCATGGGTGATCTCGCCATGAAGACCCACCACCTCCTTCTTTGCTGATTCTTTCAATCGACCTTCATCCAAAATCAGAACAGAAATGAAATAAGAGAGAACAAGCAGATTCCCAGTGGGCTCCGGGCTCACTGCTCAAAAATGTCATTCTTGGCATCACCCTCTAAATTCAGGGTGATGAGGCAGTGAGGGATCTGAGTCTCAAGACTCCTTTTCTGACCTCAAAAATAAAACAGGAATTGGCCAAGAGCTTCCACCTCTAAACATTTTCAAAATGGGTGTCTACAACCAAACATCTAAACATTTAGAAAGTATAAAGTCAACGAAGTGCTAGGTAAGGTAGTCTCGTCCTCTGATGTTGACAGTTTGCCTCCATCAGAATATGCTCGACAGATGTGAATTCCGAATGCTCAGACTCTGGGTCCCATGGGAGTGTGGTGGTGAGTGAACACCAGCCCTCCCTGACACTCAGCCCTCCACCCTTTGCTCACTGTGAGGGGACTGCACATCCATCCAAGCTGCCCCAAAGCAGTTGTCTGTAGGACATTCCCAGTCTACTGTGCCCACCAGTGGGACAGTGCGGCCTCTGAGGGCCAACTGGGGACCACCCCACAGAGGCCAACAGAACAGGGCTGGGCTGTTTGGGGGTCTACAGGGCCCAGGGCCGTGAGGGCGCTGTGGTCTTTGGTGGCCGCATTCAGGCGGGCCGTGGACTCCTTGTCCCAGGTGGAAGGGCTAGGCACAGGATGCAAAAGCAAGGGTCAGAGACAAAGTCTCACTTGTCAGGTTCCAAAGTCACCTCCGTGGACTCAGAGGTGTTTGAGTTAGAGAAGAATTTTTCTAAATACACACATTATAATAAGAAATATTTTCAGAAAGAGTTGTCGTATTTGAGAAATGACAATGTGGAGTGATCATGGTAAATGAACACGTTTATATTTGTGGCGTACTGAAAGAAGATTCCAAGTTCTTAATTTTTGCAGAAGGATAATAATCTGTAAACTATGTCATAACTGCCTTGTTTTTAAAAAACAGAAAAAAGGTCCCATGTTTATGAAGGAAAAGAACTTCCAAAGTGTATTAAAACAGAGAGAAAAGAGTAAAATATGAAACTTATGGAAATTCTAAATACTGAATTGATTTGTGTCTCTAATTTGAAACTTAAGTTTCAAAGAAGGAAACTTAAGTCATAAAGACCTTACAAAAAAGGGCCATGTTAGCAGAAGACAAGGGACACACTTAAACACTAAGTAGCAGGTTTAAATGATAGTCAGACAAGTATAGCAGTAGGGTTAGAATTAATGAGCATCAGAATTTGCAGTGTCTCATCTTTTGTTAGATTTTAGAACTGAGAAACCAAAGGAAATGCCTACACAGAGGAGATGACCCAAGTGACGCCTGAGAGCAAGAGGCTGCATTACAATGAGAAGATGTTGCAATTTCCTGTTCTTTTGCAAAGCATGCTCTTTTTCTATATATTTTAAAGTTTAAAGAGCTACAGTTTAGCCACTTGTTACAGCAATATATGTTAAACATTGCTTTTAATCTGGTAAATTTCTTTTATTATATATTCTATCTTTTGTTTCTAATTCATTTTCCTGTGTGCAAATAACATCATGGTAAGTGGTTTGCTATGCAAACTGAGAAGAAATGGTGTTACCTTTACAAGAAGTGGATAAAAACTCTAAGTCAAAAGGGTGACCATGAGTTCAATAAACACAGAATGCACCCTGGCTGGCTCCTGTGCCATTTGTCAGCACAGCAGTGGACAAAACAGGCCTGGACGTCAGTCAGGAACCTTCTGCTTTGAAGGCTCACCCGAGCCGAGCCACAGACCCCGTGCTGTGGAGCAGTTACCACAACCACCAGCACAGAGGCAGTTCTTAAAACAACATGACTATCACATCTTTAAAGTTTGTAACACCCTCCAGGGCCCAATAAATATTGACTAGTATGTGTTTTCTTTTTTCTTACTTTTGACTTTTAAAGAAAGAACTTTTCATTACACAATTTATTTGCTCCATAGTTTTATAAAATAACTGTGCTATCTTCCCAGCTCCCCTTTCTGAACATTAGGGCAGAACTCTTTATAAACAGAAGTATTTAATCCTTCTATTTGCATTCAGAGCCAAGATTTTATATTTACCAAAAACAGTCCTTTTAAAGGAGTGCAAGTATTTTATTTGTAGTTCAAATGCAAGTGGCATTGTGAGCCGGGCCGCAGGAAAGGGACCTGGTCGGCTACATTTGACCCCCAGCTGGGAAGCACCACGTTCTTCCTATAGCAATGCCTCCTACTGCTCAGGCTGGGGAATCTGAGCCTGTCCTATCCATGCTGCCTGAGAGGGAACCAAGGAAACAGGAACAAAGAGCCACTGGAGGGGGACAGTCTCCTGCCTTCAACACATTCAGTGCTCACTGTAGCTGGGCAGTGAGAATGTAAAGAAAGAGAAGAGTCTCTGTCCAACAGCAGTGGACAGACTTGTGAAGCAGAGAAACACGGAGAAAGAGCTGCAATCAGAGGTAATATGCTGCTGGAAGAAAGACAGCCTCTTTAATACGTGGTGCCGTAAAAATGCCTTTCCACATGCCAAAGACTAAAACCAGACCCATGTCTATCATCATGCACCAAACTAAAATTGAAATGGATCAAAGATCTAAATAGTAAAACCGAAGCCCTAAATCTGCTGGGAGAAAGAATAAGCAGAACTCTTGAAGACATAGGTGTAGGCAAAGACCATGAACAAAACCCAGATCACACAGGAAACAACACAGAGAATCAATAACTGGGATCTCATCTTATTAAAAAGCTTTTGTATAACAAAGAATTCAACAGAGTGAAAAGACAACCCATAGAGTGGGAAAAAATTGTAGCCTGTTCTTCAGACAAAGGACTTATATCTAGAACATATAAAGAACTGAAAAAAATCAGACCCCCAAATTCAAGGACCCAATACAAAAATGGGCATCTGAGATGAACAGACACTTCTCAGATGAAGAAATATGAATAACAAATAAATGTATGAAAATGTTCAACATTACTTGTCATTAAAGAGATGCAAATTAAAACAACACTAGTATTCCTTCTCACTCCAGAACAAATGGCTATTATCAAGGAATCAACCCATAAAAATGCTGGAGAGTCTGTGGAGAAAAAGGAACCCTTCTCCACTGTTGGTGGGAGTGTAGACTAGTGCAAACACTGTGGAAATCAGTGTGGAGATTCCTCAAAAAAGTAGGATTGGAGGTCCCATTCAACCCAGCTATTCCCCTTCTGGGTATTTTCTCAGAAGAATTAAAAACATCATACCACAGCTATATATGTGCACCCATGTTTACAGCAGCACAATTTGTAATAGCTAAATTTAGGAAACAACCCAAATGCCCATCAACTGAGGAAGGGATAAAAAAAGATGTGTTTTTTCTATACAATGGAGTACTATTCTGCCATAAAGAAGGATAAATCTGAGGAATTTCTAGGTAAATGGATGCAACTTAAGACCATACTCTTTAAGTGAAATAACCCAGACTCACACATGTGAGCACTGTATTGTCTCCCTAGTGAGAAAAACTGAAAGAATAAATAAGGACCAAAATGTACAATAGATATTGTAAAATGGGAAGAAACTGTTCAAAAGGAAAGGGAAACTAGGGTGGGGGAAGGGGGGAGGAAGGAAGGAACAAAGAAAAAACAAAGACAGGATAAAATGGAAACAAAGCCCTGTAAATAAGGAGGGGAAGAGGAGTTGAAGGGATGAGGGAAGGTTGGAAAAAAGGGGAATCCAAATACATCAGGTATGAGTACAAATTCCCTATGATGAATATGATCATTATTTATATATGTATATAATGTACCAATAAACTTAATTTTTAAAAAGAAGAAATAATAAGGTTCCCTAGCTCTTATTTAAAAAAAACAGAGCTAATATGCTGAAATGGAAGCAGTAACAGTAGATGATAATAGAAACAATTTCCATTTATCAAACAACCATTACACACAAAGGATTGTATATATATTTACAGCCTGCAAGTAGACTATTAGTTCACTTTCAAAATAATGGTTCAAAACTTAAGTTATTTATTCAAAAAGATGTTTAAAAAGCCATGAGATTAAAGGCAAAATTCAAACCCACAGCTTCACAAAACTTTTTCAACAGACCATATTGCTTCCTAGTACAAGGAACAGAAAATACACTGTTCACTTCTGTAACTCAAGATTATTCCCGCCTGGAAGCTCTTCAGGAAAGTACAGTTTGAACGTGTTTTACTGGCGCACACACTCTCTTCTAGTTCCTCATGGTCATACACGGTAAGCGTGGGTAACTGACACAAATTGCTAAACCTACACCATTTGTCTGTGTGGCTCATATCTGACATACCATATATAAACAGAGCCTCCCTCTACAGTGTAAGCTCCATACACAAGAAGTCAGTAACATTTGTTGAATAACTGAATGAATAACATAAGATAGTTAAAAATAGCAATATGTGACCAAGGCAACTACAAAAAAATGTTTCATTAAGAGTATATTATCATATCATATACTTATCAGCATAATTTTGAATTTGGTAAGGATCAAAGACTCTCTTTTATCTAATGTGATATAAGGAAATCTCCCCAGTCCTTTAGGCCTACCTCATTTATACCCTGTATAAATTTATCTATCACCGCCAGGATTGCTTGATACCCACAAACAGCTTATGCTTTCCTCCTTGGTGCCACTGTTTTGCTAAACCTTCACTGGCACTGCCCTTCTTCCCGTGTCTGTGTTTCCTCTCTGTACCTTGGGGCCAACTGCAGTGCATGAAGGGTTCCCCCGTCTTCTGCCCCCTGACACTCTCTTGACCACCTTTCTCAGGGAACCGTACCCCTGGGCTGATTAGTGGTGTGTACACAGCTTA